GGGGGGAAACGCCTGGAGGATATGATCGTGCATGTACTTGCGGTGCCGACGGGATCCCATCGCATCGTTTGTTGCGAGTGCGGCCAGACAGACGTTCAGCCTCGAGGCGTTGCGCGGGCGCCATCAGTCCCGGCGCAACCCGCTCGACGCTGCGCGGGGGCTTGCGCTGGGCTCGCAGTGTGGAGCGTGCGGAATTGTACTCGCGAGTTGGTCTTCGCTGTTCAGACAATTTGCGCGAGGTGGGCAACGCATGCATCAACTGGCTGCTTCGTCGCACTACGATGCTGGACTTGGAAGAGGCAGTGCAGTTGAGAGCAGACGACATGGACCAGGAGCAGCGGCAATCCCACCAGGGTTGCAACCGAGCAAAGGTTGTCCGCCGAGCTCGCCGACCTGCCCCAGGAGAAGGACTTGGAGTTATGAGGCGCTGGGGAGGGCGGGCCACTTCCTTCAAACCTGAGCGACCCCCGACGGTCTGGCTGGAGGTTGGAGCTCCCGGACCTCGAGTTTCGACGAAGCGTTCTGTGCCCATGCTCTGCTTGGGGCGCATGGACTTTGGCTTGGGTAGGTTCTCTATGTGGACTGGCCGGCGCACTGGGCTTCGCATTCCGGTCAAGGAGATGGGTGCCTTGGATATTGGTGATGAGAATGCTAGCGACGAGGGTTAGATATCGAATAACAAAGCGGACGGTCTGATCGAGTTATTTCAGAATGGGTTTGTTGTCGGAGTTGTGATATATGGATGCTGGAAATCGTGGGGGTCAATGGTGTCGATTCCAATCTGACGCATGGTGAGAGGCGGCTGCTCGCCAGACGTACCCCAGCAGGCAGCCACGCACTGCGTGCGGCTATTTCGTGTCTGGCGGCATGGCGCAGTTTGGGCGGTCGGTTGTTGACGACAGCGCCGTGGCTCCGAGGTGCCGTCGCTGCTGACGCCATCCTTCATCCTCGCGAGCACGGCTGTGCTGGGCGGCTCCAGCAGCAGGTTCCTCTGCAGGATTTGGTCGGCAGACGCGGAGTGCCGGCGCTCAGCGTGCACTGCGAGATTGACGATGCCTTTTTCGGCACAGATCGGCGGCGAGCGAGAGGCGGAACTGAGAAGGAGGAGGCCTTCTCAGAAGTCGGCGGGACTTCTCAACAGCCTTCGCGCCTTCTGAGAAGTTTTTTCTGTCTTCGGGGAAGGCTTAGAGAACTTCTCAGAAGGCCAGGGGGCTCCCGAGAAGTCCCGCCGCCTTCTGAGAAGGCCTTCTCTTTTTCCCTTCCCCCCCTCGCTCGCCGCCGAACGGGGGGGTGGCCCCGCGGTCTCGCTAGGGTGGTTGCGCGCTTCGTCCTGCTCCGTTTGGACCTTTCTGCGAACGTCTGGGCTTGCAGACTTCAGGACTCGAGGAGGAGGGCGGGCTGGTGCTGGTTGCGTTCGCGCGTTTCTCTCCCCGTGCTTGGGGGGGGAGTTGGGTTGCGGACGTGGCAGAGGGTGAAACGCACCTCGAGTGCCACCCCAAGGATCCCCCCTCGCTTGCATGGGCCGCTGCCAGTGCGAGGCAGCGTTTCAGCCAGAGCCCCTCCCCGCGCCTTCCAGCAGCATTCTCCCTCATCCCTCTTGCCGCTTCCTGTCTGCGGAGATGGGCTTAGCGCGGATCGGTTGCACGGGGGGCGGTGCGTGACGCATGGGCGTCAGTTTTGGCCGAAAGCCGTCTACTGCCCGCCCGCCCCCATCCGCAGCCTCACCCCTCTCTGCTCCGTCATCGTTCAGGCTGGCCCTCCCGCTCTCGTCTTCTCGAACATGTTGCTGAGCCATCCACGCCGCTGTTTTCTTCACTTGCTGCTGCGGCCTGGTGCCAATTTTCAATTGTTGCTGCGGCCTGGTGTCAACTTGCATGGGCCTGCCTGCTCCCGCTGCTGGAGTCCCAGTTGTGCCAGCCGTCATCTTCGCCCAACTCCCATCCATCTTACCGGTGTCTTTTTGAGCGCTCGTTTTCTTGTTCTTTTGTCATGTCTCTATTGCCTCTTGTATTCAGGACCTTGCCTCTCGGTCCGCACTCCGTCGCGCCGCCCGCGTCGCAGGCGCTCGCCTCCGCCGCCGCCGCCGCCGCCAGGGCCTTTGAGCCCGAGCCCGCTTCGGGAGGCGAGGCGGCGGCGTGCGGCGCGGCTCGGGCTGGCCCCGCGGCAAGCCCCATGAGGACGTTTCCGTTCGGCTTCGAGGCGGCGGTGGCGGGGCCGGGTCGCGCTCTCAGAGGGGCTGAGGAGGGGGGGCAGGAGTGCCAGACCGACCCGACGATGCACCATTCCGAGGACGCTGCCGGCGAGGTTCTCGCCGCGCACACCTTCGACGACACGGAGTGCCAGACGGACCTGAAGATGCGCCACTTCGGCGTCGCTCACGCGAATGAGCCCGAGCAGACGCCTGAGCACGACAGGCTCATCACGAAGGACCCGTGGCAGGGTATTCAGGAAGTCGAGCCTGACAGCGACTGCATCAGGAGCGACGCCGAGTGCTGCCATTTCTGGAACACGGACCCGGACGGGCGGCTTTCTGCCATCATCCCCGTTTCCAGCTCCTCCCCTAGGGGGGGCAGCCTAAGTCGCAGGCTCCCGAGCGGACGAACTCACATCCTTCGCAGCGGCTGGCGGTGAAGGATAGCTCGGGAGCGGCAAGGCCAGCCATCGGGGCGACGGCGAAGCCAGCGGGTCTGACTGCATGTTCGACAACCTGGGCATCGACGAGGAGCCGCTGGACGACTGGGCGCTCGCCGTCGAGCTCGCCGAGCAGCCGCAGGACGACCAGACGGAGTTCGCTACGACGGCGCCCATGCCCATGGCAAACATCAGCAAGCTCAAGGCCCAGCTCGCCGAGCAGCAGGACGACCAGACGGAGTGCGCTACGATGGAGCCCATGCCCATGGCGACCATCAGCAAGCTCAAGGCCCACCGCGACGGCACGACGGCGGAGGTGGGCGTTACGACGCCGTCCGGCGGGATCATCACCGGCATCAACAAGGACGATGACGGCAGGATGGTGGAGGAGTGCGAGGACAAGCGGTGCGAGGCGAGTTGTGACGAGGAGTCATTGGCTTCCCTGGTCGTTCGGGTTCCGAGGGATAACTACACGGATTCAGGAGAGGAGAGGGGTGCCGCAGACGACGACGAGGTCGACGACTACCTGAAGAAGGAAGGCAGCCGCGCCGCTTTTGCAGCCCCCCTCCCTGGGAGGATATTCCGAGGGCGGGCCCAGGAGGGAAGGGGCCGGCAGCTATTTCGGCACCCGATGCAGGGATGCGCGACGAGGGAGAGGGGGCAAGGAGGGGACGCGCCTTGTCCTTTCCCTGATCTGCCCCCCCCCCCGCCGCGGGAAGCGAGACCGCGCTTGCCGAGGACCCGCAACGCGTGGAGACCACTGGCGACGGCGAGAGGGGGGAGGAGCGCGTCACGACGCCGCCCACAGCTGCCGCGGGCGCGCGCAGCCTCGAACACATCCTGGTGCTGGCTGAGGTGCGGGGCTGGCACGAGGAGGGCGGGCTGGTGCTGCCAGACATCCACGCGCGCCTGGTGAAGGAGGCTGCCCAGCATCGCAGGGCGCAGCGCAGCGTGACCGTGCCCGTCTTCGTCGAGGCGTGGCCTGCGCCATGACAGCGCAGGCCATGTGCGAGCGCGGCCTCTAGTGCGAGGCAGGTCCCCCCTGGGGACGCAGAGTGGTGCTGTTCTTGGCGGGTGGGCGCTTGCTGCTTCGCTGGGCCCGACGGCGGTTCGCTCTGGGCTGAGGTTCAGACCGCCCGGCGTCGCTGCCTCGGTGTGCGTGGTGGGCTCCCTCGGCGAGGAGATCTACTTCTGGCCGCCCGCTGCCATCAACTCTGAGTTCAAGATTGACTTCATCGGTGTCTTCGAGCCGCGGTCTAGAGGGCTTCTAGGATCGCTCGCCTCTCTGCCCGTTCTCGCATCACAGGTTGTGGGATTCTCCTGTGGTCGTATGTTCTATTAGCTTTTCCTTCTTCCTCCCTCCTGTCTCGGGCTCCCTGTCAGCACATCGCTGGCCCGGTGCCGCGCGCCCGCCGCATGCGGGCATGCGTCGCCCTCGTAGCCCCTCCTGCGCCGCCCCACCCGTCCCAGCAGTGGTAGCATCCACTTGGCTCCAAGTGCCCGCCGCCGTTGCGACAGGCCCGTCGCTGTTACGACAGATATGTTTTTTTATTCCTGCTTCCTGCGTTGACCCGTGAGGTGAGTGCATCGGCTGGTGTATCGTCGCGGTGTCTCCCTTCGCCTCCTCCGCCCCCCCCCTTTCCAAAAGATGCGCCAAGGATTTTTTATTTTATAAGAAATAAAATATAACAAGGACCTTGCCTCTCGGTGGCGGCGGGCGTGGCGGCGATTATTTATGCTCCTCATCATATGTTTTCATTGTTACTTTTGCGACCGCCTTGTCCTTTCGCCATCCCACTACTTTCCGTGCGCTTGCTACTTGTCGGCTTCATTGCTAGCAGGGCGCGCAAGGGCCGCGGTGCACGCATCGCCGCGGCTCTCCTCACGCCTCACGCCCGCGTGCGCCTGCGGCTTGCCCAAGAAAGGAAAGACGCCCAGAGGCATCGAGCCCCGATCGTCGAGGCGTGGCCGAGCTGCGCCCATCCCGGGGCGCCCCGCGCAGCGCGGCGAGGCGTGGATCTCTCTACGCCCACCGCCTGGCGGATCGATCTTATGTGACTTCGGAAGAAAGTGCTTATGAACAGGTTTGGGCCTTGGGGGGCCCAAGTTGTGCGGGAATGAATTTTCAACGTCGGCGATGTTCGCGGGGGCGAAGGCGAGGAACGCAAGGGTTTGAGGCCCTTGAGATCTGGCCCAAGTCGCCGCGGTCCCGAAGCGCCGACCGCAGCACTCCAGCTTGATACAAGTCGAACGGGATGTCGGTTGGCCCCCCCTCTATCCATCGCTTGCCGAGGCACCCAGAGGTCAATCCTGCGGGCGGTGGTCAAATGGACGAGTCCCCACCTCGCCCGCCTGGTCCGCCGTGTCAGGCCACCTCCCTGGCGGCCCTCCGGGCCGAGGCGGTCCATGACAGCCGGTCCCGCGCGGTCGCGTACCTGCAGGACGAGGGCGGGCGCGCGCGCGCGGAGGAAGGGAGGTAGGGAGGGAAAAGAGGAAGGGATGGGATAGAGGGGCTGAGGGGGGGGGGACGGCGGGAAAAAGGCACGGAGGGAGGACGGAAGGACGGGGGGAAGGTGGTATCGGCGGGTTTGCACGGGTTACCGAGCCGAGAGCAGCACTCGCTGAGGAGCAGCACGACCTCGAGGAAAGGATATTCTCTCTTGAGGTGTCCTTGGGGGAGCGGCCGTGCCCCCCCGATGCCGATTGCGCAGTCCGCAGAGGAGGAGGAGGAGGAGGAGGAGGAGGAGGAGGAGGAGGAGGAGTAGGAGGAGGAGGAGGAGGAGGAGGAGCGGGGGGAGGAGGAGAGTAGGAGGAGGAGGAGGAGGAGGAGGAGGAGGAGGAGGATGAACAGGCGGAGGAGTATCAGCCTGAGGGAGAGGAAGCGGAAGAGGTGCGCGAGCCGCGAATTGCGGAGGACGCGGCAGTGGCCCTGGGAGGAGCAATGGCCCTGGGAGGAGCAGTGGCCCTGGGAGGAGGAGGAGGAGGAGGAGGAAGAGGAGGAGGAGGAGGAGGAGGAGGAGGAGGAGGAGGAGGAGGAGGAGGAGGAGGAGTGGCCCTGGGGCAGTGGCCCTGGGAGGAGCAGTGGCCCTGGGGGAGGAGCGGTGGCCCTGGGAGTAACGATTCAACGTCGCGCCAGCGACGCCGTCGGCGCCGCAGTCTGTTGCCGCCTTTCTGCCTGTTCCACCAGCCGTTGCTCTACGGCGACGGTCAGTTGCTTGCCTGGCTGCCGCGGCCTCTTGCAGTCCGAGCGCTCTGAGCGTGGCCTCCGTTGTGCAGCGTGTGGCGGAGGGTGGGGCCGTCGTGGTTGGGCCTTCTCTTGCGGACCGTGCAGCCCGTGATGTGTCGGGCATGCACCAGCACAGCGCCAGAGGAGCCACCCAACACAATCCAGGAGGCCGAGCCCGACGCGAAGGGGGCCGCTGCTGGGGTGGAGGCTGGTGGTGAGGTTCTAGACGAGGGGACCGGACACCCTGGAAACGTGTGCAGCGGGCCGCCTTGGCGGGAGAGGAAGGAGGCGGCGTGCAGAAGGTTCGTGGAGGCGGCGTTGAGGAGGAGGAGGAGGCCGAGGTGGCTGCTGTTGCTTCCCTGGGGAACGCCGGCTGGCGCGGCGAGGAGGCGGAGGAGGCGGCGGAGGTGGCCGCGGCGGTAGGTGGTGCTCCGGCGGGTGCCTCCAGCCAGGCGCTCCCGTGCCGGCTCCGCCGCACTCGCTTGTCTTCGCAGTGCATGTGCAGCCAGTGCGTGCAGTGCTGTGAGTTGTGGGCCTTCGCCGCCCTGGGCCTCTTTCTCCGCCGCCCCCCTCGCAGCGCCGAAGCTGTGGAGACCGCGGGATGCGTGCCGCTGAAGACCGTCCTCAGCAACAGGCTCAAGAGCGCCGAGGTCGCGGAGAGCGGTTTGCTGCGCGGGTTGCTCGTCGAGTACCTCGTCGACTGGCAATGACAGGCGCCGCGCTGCTGACCGCGATGGCCGCGTCCAGGCTGACGTCCTCGAAGGGTGCCCGCGTAACGGTATTCACTTGGCCCATGGGGATCCTCAAACCTTTAGCCAAAGTGGCGACGGAGGAGGAAGATGAGGAGGAGGAGGAGGAGGAGGACGAAAAGGAAGAGGAAGAGGAGGAGGAGGAGGAGGAGGAGGAGGAGGAGGAGGAGGAGGAGGAGGAGGAGGAGGAGGGGAAGGACCCAGAAACCTTCATCCTCGAGGTTTTCGAGCTTTGCGTGCTTTCGAGGTTCGAGGTCTCCGTACGTGTTCGTCGTTTCTCTGCAATTTGAGGCTCGATGTCGCCTCGAAGAGAGCGATCGGGGGACGGTGGTCGAATTGTCCCGAACGGCCTCTGGAGCCCAGGGTCATGGGTCGAATGCTACGTGCTGTTCATGTCTAATTCTTCGAAAATTCCTGGATTTGTTGGGGGCCAAAATGCTTTCATTTCTAATTTTTCCATCCTGGGCCTCTTCCTGGCCACTAGGGGGCCAGGAGCAATTAGAAACGAGCACAATATGAAATGAGCGCGATTAGAAAAGAACGACGTGTAGGCCTCCTCGCGTCGTCCGGCTTAATTCTGATTGGCGAGTATTCTGTTTGTTCGGGCTCACGTAATAGCCCCCTGCTCGGG